TTCATTCTCCTGTGTTCCATCTGGTGAGGTCCACATGGATTGTTGTCATTCATGGTGCTGAAAAAAGTATCTGCAATGAAGAAGTTGTTGGTTTTGGAAAATTACATTATGTGATCTGTATCTTTTCTATGACCAGTTCTCCAAATTTCCCAAGTATCAATTCTTCCTCTCTGTTCTTAACTTTGGCATTCGAATCACAAGTAATTACCAGTGCATCTTGATAGTAAGTTTGAATAACTTCAGACTGCAAAAGTTGGTAGAATTCTTCAATTTCTTCACTGTCTTGAGTGGTTGTGTGAATTTGTGTAACAGTTTTATTAGCTGGTCTCCCATGTGAGTGTCTGGATATTATGCTATCATTGATAACTTCGTACTTCAGGATAGGTCTTGAAATACTCTTTTTGATGATAAATCAAACACAATGCCATTCTGCTTAAATGTGTCATTCCTGACCTCTTAACTATATGACTGTCGGTGGTTCAAAACCCACCAGTTGCTGTACGGTGGAAAGACATGATACTCTGCTTCTGTAAAGATTACAGTCTTGGAAACGAATAACCCACAATTATTGAGCTAACTCTGACTCAGAGATCTCATATAGGGTTTGCTAGGTTGTAAATATTTGCAGGAGCAGACAGCCTTAATATTTGTTCCTTGGAGAAGCTGGTGGATTTGAACTGCTGACCTTGTGCTTAACAGTTTGATGCTTACCCGGCTTCCATCAGGGCTCCTGGAAACTATGGGCTGGCTATGAGTTGGAAGCAACTTCAGGGCGATGTGGCTGGATTTGGGTTATTTGGGTGTCTATGAAGCACTTGATGGCAGTGGGTTTTAGTAGTAGTTCAGTAGTTTACTTTCTTCTTTTACATAAATTACCGGTATTTTAGATGATAATGTTGTAAAATCAAATTAGGAACCAAGAGTAGTTTAATCCTCTTTCTATGGTATGCTCATATTCTAACGTGACTGAGCATATGAATTCTCTGACCTGTTTTTAATTTATTTTTAAACCAAAAATGTATTGAATCAGCATCTCTGAGGGTTGAGTTTGAGCTTTAATTTTAAAATGCTCCGCAGTTTTAACTTATTTTTCTTTCAAGGTTTAAGTTTTTATGTTTTTGTTGTTGCTTTAAGTATGCAGTGGTATACAGGCCTCTTCTGAAAAAACGTTTTTGAATAGTTTATAGATAATACCATATCCTGGAACATTTAACTTTCTATCTTAAAATTTTCCTTCAAGAACCAAATCCATGAAGTTTGTTTTAAACCAATAGTGGATAGCATATCTAGCTTATAATAAAATAATGTGAAAAATAAATATGTTTTAGAGGAAAGCCTCAAGTCCTCTCAGTTCTTAAAACATAGTCTTAAATATACCTTCTAGTGTTGGTTTATCCACACCTTGCATTTAAGTGATATGCTGCCACTCAATTTGAACATTCCAGGAATATATGACTGAGAAGCAGCAGTGTAGTGTTCTTGTCATGTCCTATAGAAAGCTCTCCAGGATTCTTTGTAATACCGATTTAACCAAACTAAACGCACTGCCATCGAAACTCTGACTTATAGCAACCCTATATGACAGGGTGCCTCTGTGGATTTCTGAGACTTTAACTCTCAACAGGAGTAGAAAGCCTTTCAAAGAGTCGCTGGTGGTTTCGAACTATTGACCCACTATGCTACCAGGGATATCATAAAAACTTGGACATCTTTCCTGAGTGCACTCAAACCATTTATCACCTTGCAATTCATAGTAAAACTTTGAACAAGATTTTCTTTTCCTGGCTTTGCTTAAATATCTGGTTAGCCTCACTTCATCTTGATTTTTAAAATATATTTGAAATAGAAAACACTTCCCTTTCAAGATAGCTTTGGTTATTTGGGATCCTTTCCATACCAATTTTAAGAAGTGGCTTTTTATTTTCACAAAAAGGCTATTGGAATTTTGATGAAGATTACACTGAATTTGTAGATCACTATGGGGGGGTAATTAAAATATTGACAAAATTAAGTCTTCTATTCCATGAGCATAAGATGTCTTTCCATTTATTGAAACCTTTAATTTCTGTTGGCAATGTTTTCTAGTTCTCGTATAGGGTATGTTCACTACTTTGGTTAAGTGTGTTTTCAGGTACTTTATTGATTTTCATGATATTATAAATGGAATTATTTTCTTTATATCCTTTTCAGAGCCACAGACTTTTTGTTAATACTCTTTACAATGCTGATGAATTTTCCCACTATCCCTAGGTTGTTCACTGCTTTTATCATGAAAGGGTACTGGATTTTTCCAGATACCTTTTCTGAAGCAACTGAGATGACCATGTGCCTCTTTTTTTGTTCTCTTCATTTGGTACAGCATAGATTGTTGAACCACTCTGTGTTCCTGGGGTAAATTCCCCTTGGTTGAAAATGTTATTGCCTATATTAAGATTTTTGTATCTATACTCAAGGATAGTGGTCTCTAGTTTTCTTATGGTCTTGTGCGCAGTTTTTATATCACGATAATGCTTGTTTCATTAAATGAGTTAGAAAGTGTTAACTCTTGAGTTATTTTTTTTTCTTAATTTGAGAAGGATTAGAGTCAATTCTTTAATTATTTGGTAGTATGTCCCATTGAAGCCATTTGATCCTGGACTTATTTCTGCTGGGATTATTGATTCAATTTCTTCACATGTTTTTTGATCTGTTGAGGTTTTCAGTTTCTTCTTGGGTCAATTTAGACAGTTATTGTGTTTCCAGCTCACTTTTGTTTAGTATATCCTGGGGAATTTTTTTTCACTTTTCTTTCATTTTGACTATTTGTGTCTTTATCTAAATGGTATCTGTTACAAACAGCATATAGGTGAATCATGTTGTATATGTTTAATCCATTCTGTTAGTCTCTGCCTTTGACAGGAGGATTTAATCCATTCACTTTTAAGTTAACTAATGATAGGATGAACTTCTACCATTTTACTAATTGGGTTGTGTGTGTATGCCTTAAACATTATGTTCCTCATTTCCTTTATCAATGTGGTATTCAGTTGTGTTTAATTGGATTTTTGTAGTTGAGGTTCTTGGATGTATATATTCATATCCATCATATTTGACAAGTTTTCTGCTATTTTTTTCCAAATATTTTATTTCCTTTTTAGGGAAGTTCAGTGATACACCTATTGGTTTCCTTGAGTAAAAAAGAGAAAACCCAGTCACCTTTGAATTGATTCCAGTTCATGATTACCCATGTGTGCAGAGTAGTACAACGTTTCATAATGTTTTCAAGGAAGTGACTTTGTAGAAGTAGATTGCCAGGCCATTCTTCTGAGGTGCCTCTGGTGAATTTGAACTGCCAGCCTGTTAGTTCGTGGTCAGTTGCTTAGCCATTTGCATCACCAGGGACTTAGGGTTTGCTTGAGTTGTTGGTAAGAGCCGTCCAGTTGGTTCTGAGTCACAGTGACCCTACGCACCACAGAACCTTGCCCTATCCTGTGCTGTCTTCAAAACTGTAATGTTTGAGCCCATTGTTGCCGTCCCTGTGCCACTCAGTTATATCCCAAGTGTCACTCTTTTTGTCTTACTGTTTTTCTTCTGACGATGGTTTCTATTGCCTTATATAATTTATTATTTATTCTGTCAACGTAGATCTGCTATTGATTTCTTACTGAATTGTTCATTTGGATATTATATTTTTCAGTTCCATTAATTGTTTGTTTGTTACTTTTCATACTTTCTAATTTTATAGTTTCTAATTATAAGTTCTATTTTGTCTCTTTATTTAAATACTTATTTTCTTCCATTGTTTTCCTCAGTTTTTAATTCATTGTCTATATTTTCCTCTTGTTCTTTAAGCATACTTCATGTTATGTTAACATCTCAAACAACGAAATTGCCCATTGCCATTGAGTCTCACAGCTCAGTTATTGCAAAGTAGAAACTGCTCTGTAGGGTTTTCTTAGGGAAGCAGTACATCAGTTTAAATTGGCATCTAATCCACGTATCCTGCAGTTTAGTTTAACATATTGCTGTGCAAGAGTTGTGCATTCATCACAATTTTACGTTCTCTTCATCCTTGTACTCCTTATTAGCTCCTCATTTCTCGCAACTTCCCGGCCATAACGTGAAGAAATTATTAATGTAGTTAGTCTCTATAGATTTTACCTTTCTGGGATTCCATATAAAGAAAATCATACACCCCCCCCCTGCCAAAAACCACTCAAGAACAAAATAAAACCCAAAAACCTCAGTTGGAAAAGTAACAGAAAATAATAAAAACTAGAACAAATTTAAAATGGGTCAAAAGGGAGAACAGAGGAGTTAAATTTTAACCTAACTGCATCCACATTAGTCCACTTCCCAGTGTACTCTCTCCAGTAGCGATGCTACTCGCATCCCTGGTTAGTAGTCAGTCAGAGGAATTCACTGTCGGCTTAAGTCAAGTGGGGACCCTGCAGATGGTTTGGGGCTTCCACTGTCATCCAGAGCCTTATACTGCCCCCCCTTTGCTCCCTGTTATACCTGAGGTAATAAAGCAAAAGCCATGATCTGTTTTTAAAGAGTTTTGAATCAGATTTTCTAAAAGGTACATGATATTTTACAGTTAAAAATGGCCAAACATTTAAAAAGTTCTATTATTAATTGCTGTTCAACCATGGAGTCTGTTGCTTTCACTTGCCCACCCAGACAAACTCCAAAGTCTGTTCCCTGTGCTATGAAAGTTCTTACCTTGATTGTGTCTTGGTTTCCTTCCCTTATAACAGGGGTCTCTTAAACAAGGTTTGTACTTTTGTGATTGACTAACTTCACTCAGCATAGTGCTCTGCGTGTCTCTCCACGCCAGGGGGTGCTTCGTGGTCTCACCGTTGTTTTAACGATGCCTCGTATCCATTGTGTGGATGTACCAAAGTTGCTGTATTCACTTTTCTATTGATGGGCATGAAGGTTTTTTCTAGTTTCTTGCAATTGTGAACAGTGCTGCAATGAACATGAGTATATGTATGTCTGTTTATGTTTTGACTCTTTACTTCTTTAGGATAGATACCCAGCAGAGGGATTGCTGGATCATAAGGAATTTTTACTCCCAGTTCTTTGAGGTAAGCTATGTCGCTTTCCACAGTGGTTGTACATGTTGACAATCCCACAAGCAGTGTATGAGGGTTTCGGCCTCAGCAACCTCTCCAACATTTGTTATTTCCTGCTTTTAAATGTTATTGTCATTGTTAGTTTAAGGTGGTGTCTCGTTGTTTGGATTTGTGTCTCCCAGATTGTGAACATTTCTTCATCTGCTTGCTCACCCTTACATGTCTTCTCTGGTGAATTGTCTGGTCGGATGCTTTGCCCACTTAACTGACTTACTTGTCTTTTTCCTATTGGGGTATTGCAGTTTTTCCTAGATTTTAGAGGTAGTTCCAGTCTTTTCTGATTATCCGTTATAGGCAAAACCTAAATTCTGCATGAATTTAATGATAACAGTTTCATTAATTGCATCCTAATGGGGGGAAAATCACCTAGTGAGCAGACTGGTACCATTGAAAATTCTTGGAGCTAAATAGGCTCTCGTTCATACTTTATTTTTCTAATTAGCTCATTTCTCCCACTTTACATAATGAGTTACTTTTTAAAAACACTTTGTTCAAATCTTTCTCTTTCACTCATCTTTTTTCATTCTTGCAGATGACTTTGAGCTTTTATTCATGGAAGAAAAAGATTCTGATTGGAAATAACTTTCCTTATTCCAGATCAGCCAACATACAGACAGACACTCGTTATTTCCTCCTATCCAAGTCAATCTTTTCAGCTCTGTTCTATATATCATTCCCGCGTGGGACCTCTCACCTATTTTATTTCCTCTTTTCTATATTGACCATCTCCCATTTCCATTCAAATGTACTCAGACATTTCCCATTTTGTAACACAAAGTAAAAAACAACCAAACAATAACAAAAATCTTTTCTGAACGTGTATTTTTCTCTCCTCCTCGCCCCTAGCCTCTCTCTTTTGTGAACAACTCATCAAAAGGCATGTCTTTCCTTGTTATTTCTCCTTCTTCTTTGAATGCTACTCATTTCTCCACCTCCCCAGTCTAGCTTTACCACCACCAGACTTGAAATTGTTCTGGATAAGGTCACCGGTGATCTGTAAGTTGCAAAATGCAGTATGCGTATCATCAGCCCTCACATTACTTGATCTTTCAGCAACATAGCTAGCTGCCACTCTCGTGCTTTGTTCTTGTAATGCCACACGCTTCTACTCTTCTTTATAACCTATGGCTGCTTCTGTGTTTGCAAAACCCTCTTCTTTTACTATATAGAATTAAATGTTGAAGTTTCTTGCTGCTCTGCCCTGTGGCTCTATCTATTCTTACCGTACTATTTGTCTCCCCTCAGTGTGTGAGCCCTGAAGAACCTTGGTGTTGAAGTGGGTTAAGCATTGGTTGCTAACCACAAGGTCATTAGTTAGAAACCACTGGAGAAAGATGAGGCTTTTCACTCCTTTCAAGAGTTACAGTTTCTTGATGTGGAAAGATCTGCTCCTTATCCCTTTAGGACAGCGGTTCTGGACCTGTGGGTTGTGACCCCTTTGGGGGTCAAATGACCCTTTCAAGAGGGGTCACTTAAGACCATCAGTAAACACATAAAAATTTCACAATATATAATTACATACTGTTTCATGATTAATCACTATGCTTTAATTATGTTTATGTTCAATTTGTAACAATGAAAATACATCCTGTATATCAGATATTTACATTACGGTTCATAACAGTAGCAAAATTACACTTACGAAGTAACAACGAAAATAATTTTATGGTTGGGGGTGGCAACAACATGAGGAACTGTATTAAAGGGTTGCGGCATTAGGACGGTTGAGAACCCTGCTTTAGAAGGAAGAATATAACCATAACATGCTACATGAAAAAAGGAGTTCGCAGGGCTCCCAACCTTCCAGTAGAGGTTGAGAAGTAGTATATTTCTCATATATTTGGGGGGTGGGGGGAAGTCGGTCTCAGAGACTCATAGGGGCAGTTCCACCCTGTCAAATGGGGTCACTAATGAGTTGGAGATGACTCAATGGTTTTGAGAATTGCAGCCCTGTTCATGCTCTCATTTATATGGCAATTACCGTATCAGCCAAAATGCTTTCAGCTATGCTTTACTGCAAACCTAGATTCTATCAAGTACCACCATTAAGCAAACATAGAATCTCCTGAAACTTTAAATTGAGAAGTAGAATGGACTCCAGGTATGAGACAATCACCAGGTACAGCATCCCCAGCGCCTGCCTATTGATCCAGCCTGCCATCCTCATTTTCAGCTTTACTCTGAGGCTAGTTCCTCTGCTGGTTGCACAGAGCCACATCAGTTTTGGCTACCACTTCTAGACCCAACAACAATCAGAAGAAGAGCTAATTTTTTAAAGGGCTACAAAACCTGTCTTCCAAGTACCCGTAGCACACTTCTCCCTTACTGACTCACAAGGGTGCTGAGATTATCGTGATTGAAGCACATAGATGTTGAGAGTCAAATCTCTTACCCTGCTTTTGACAGACCTTTAACAATGGTTATATAACCCCATATAATCTGGCCCCTACATCCTATGCTGGCCCTATGTGGCGTTTCAGTGTTCATTTCCTTTAAGCTTATCCGCTAACCCTAAGTGTCCTAGCCCTTCTCTGTCACTTTTTGAGCATAGCTTTTTTTGTTTTCCTGAACTAGATAAACCTTCTTACCTCTTCTAGCATTATTAGCTTTCATAATATCTGTTGTTTACTGCACATAGATACTGATTGGTTGGTTGATTCAATGTAATACTGTTATTCTAATATAATTAGAATAATTAGAGAGTTGGCCATATGCAGCTATAAAATATATTTCAGTGCTAGTTACTTGCGAACTTTAATGTTTATGTCATCAAACCGTCCCTGTATTAGGGTTTCATAGTACTAATTTAAAAGCTCAATGTTATAGATAGTACCTTGGAAAAACAAAACAAGAAAAGTATAAATAAATATGTTGGCTAGCTTAATATTTTAATATTTGAGTATGTTGTTTTGATGTGTATGTGTAAGAATGAATTTCCTTGTTTACCAAGTAATATACAAAAGAACTTCAAAAAGTTTGTAGAACAATTGGATTAAAAGATAATGGTTGTACAACTAATTCTTCATGACGTCATTAAACCATTGGATTGTATGACATGTGAATTATATGCCAATATAAGTGTTGGGAAGTTTTTTCTTTTAAAACAGTAAAAAGGAATGGTATTGTTCTGTACGCACTTCCCAGTGCCCTCATATTTTCAATATGTATTAGATTACTTGGTGGCTCTGTTGTGCAACCATTGGGCTGCTAACTGTAAGGTTGGCAGTTCCAACCCACCAGCTACTCCACAGGAGATAGATGATGCAATATGCTCTTATACAGATTCACAGCCTTGGAAAAGCTATGTAGGGTTGCTGTGAGGTGGAATTGACTCAATGGTAATCCATTTTTGTTTTGTTTTGTTCTAAATCAGTAAGAAGGGCAATTACACTGTTGTGAGAAAGAAAAAAGGTTGATTGGGAGTGTAGTTTTCTCTTTTTTTAATGGGGAACCCTGCTCCTCAGATGAGAGAGTAGTCATTGGTTCCCTAGCCTGCCTCATCGTTAAAGATCATGAACTTGCCCAAAATCATGGGGTTAACTCTTGGGGTCAGTCATTCCTCACACTGAGGTCATATCTGGTGATAACGAGTTGGGATTATTTTGGAAAAGAGTATGCTTTCCATAAACTATAATTAGTAGTTATATCATTTTTTTTAGTTTCCCAGCCTGACTTACCTGTCCTTTGCCAGTAACCTTTAAGTTTACTCGTTGACGTCAGACGCCTTTCTCAACTCATCGACAGTCATTGTGACTCTATTAGAAATATGAAATGAGATCAAATCTATTTGAATCTCTTTCCAAGACTATGAAGAACCTCAAGCTCACTGACATTGACTTGGTTCCCACTTGTCACTACCCATAGGAAGAGGAGAACGGCCTCCCTGGGTTTCTGAGACTATAAATCCTCATGGGAGTAGAAAGCCTTATCTTTCTCCCAGGGAGTGGCTGGTGGTCTCTAACTGTTGCCTTTGTGTTTAGCAGCAGAACATGTGACCCGTCATACTATCAGAAACATATTTTAAACAAATTGAAACTCAAAAATGCTTTCGATGTAGGCATCGTATTGTAGTTACAGAAGTATTTGGCAATTTAGCTTTAGGAAGCACCACTTTTATTGGCAGACATTGTGAAAGCTAATCCTATGTCCTTTGTTGTCTGATACTTCATAATGTGTAAGATAGTTGAAGATTTCAGATTCTAGGTCATATTTAGCAAAATATTTTAAATAGAAAAGTCATAGCATATCTTTCAGTCCATTAAGTGTCAAAAATCAAAATAAGCCTGGAATGTGTATTCCTGAACCTGCTGAGAAGTAGAAGTCATCATGAAAGTTGGATGTGATTCTGGGTGCCACTCGTACAGGAATAGGTCCTGTGCGCACTTGTGCCACATACGCTGTCCTTTACCCCCTGCCATGTTGGTATATTTGATCTAAAACCAAAACCAATACCCCTGCCATCGAGATGTTTCCAACTGATTGTGACCCTATAGGACTAAGTAGCACTGCTCCCTGGGATTTATGAGACTGTGAATCTTTACAGGAGCAGACAGCCTCATCCTTCTCCTGGGAAGACCTAGTGAATTTGAATCATAGTCGATTAGCATTTTAAGGCCTAACCCACAGCAACATCAGGACTCTTTTTGATCTAGAAAGATATACTTATCTTGCCATCTTCTGTTGTAAAGTATATATGAAAAAATGAGATTTGCTTATTCATTTCACGAAAATACTTATGTGGAATACTAAGTAATGGTGGTTTAAAAAATGTAGGGTAATTTCTCATGTACTCACAATCTAAACTCAATTGCAAATATTTTCTTTGGTTGAATTTCGTGTAATACAAAAAGAGAGTATGTATAAAGATAAAGCTATTTAGGGCAAAAAAACCCAAAAGAATAAGAGGCCAGACCTGATACCAGGGGCTAAGTGGAGAGCAAATGTTTTGAGAA